CCTTTTTCTGTTGAGCACATCACCCCTCGTGTTCAGTCACTGGCCACTTCATACGTCCATCATGTTTATGAAAGCATGTCAACTTAATAAGAAGTGAACGTGATTATCGGTCACACAGCTTCATTGTTTTGCATGAAAATAAAAATGAATAAACAAGTAAGTGAAATGTGTCTTCCTACAGATTTTGATAGCATGAATCCTTTTTATCTCGCTATCTTGTTCTGCCATTGTTTCTTCAATGTTAAATTAGTTCAGGTTCTATTTATATTCCAGTCATAAAGGCTAAATCACAGGGTCTTGAGATATAGTTGGCCAACCACACAGGAAATGGGTACTTTATTGTGAAAGTGTAACTTTGTACCTACGTGGAAATCATGTGCATGTCTTTTTTGCTTTTGTATGAATGTGCCTTTGTAAATGTTTTGTCTTTTTTAGCATGACTGTCTCCTGCCCAAACATGCTTTAATGATGTGTTTGACAATGTGGAGGAAAGTGACATGTGGCTCCGTGTGTGTGTGTGTGAGCGATGGACGATAGCATCACCCTGCATATTTCCTGTGCTAGTGTCAGGTGTCCCCATGGATATCTTGTGGTGATGATAAAGGGATATTAAAACTTGTAGCTTTTTCTTCAGCTTGCTCCCTACCCAGCTGTCTGTCTAGTCATCAGATTATCCCTTCACAGGCTAATGTACGCACAGAAGGATGCACACAGACACACATGCACTTATCAGAATAAAGTGGCATATTGACTGTGGAGGGTATAAAAACAGCACAGAAGGATGATTCATGCTTTTATATGCTCTTTTCATCATATTTCCTCAGGCCATTATGACTTTGTTTACTGTGAATAAACTATTCTTGCATAAGTCTCATTTCTTCATTATTAATCATTGGTTTGATTCAACCATCAAAGTTTTTAAATATAGTCCAAAGTATGGAACTTGGAACTAGAACCACTGCTGGATCTTTTGTGATCTATGTCAGCTGATGTAGTATGTAATGCAGTTTTGCCTTGCACCAGAACAATTGGATTGTCCTTTAGTGTGCTTTAATTATAGCCAGCTGAACCAAGACTAATTTCCATCTGAATGGAGTATACAGTCATAAGTCTAAAAGAATATAAAGCAGCTATACATGTTAAATATTCTTGCTTTTTATAGTGTGTTTGGTTAGTAAGGCACTATTAGGTGGTTGTTAGATGCTTTTTCAGTGTTGGGCTGGAACACTAGGCTGTCAGGTGATGTTCTGGGTGTAGTAGGGAATGGTTAATACAGTAGTTGCTTGGCATTCATGTAGATGCTGCATCGGGGCTCAAGAGATGCATGTCACCCGTCACTAGGTTACGTCTCAGGTTCTACTGATTGGTAGAAAATGCCAGACCTTTCTGCTGCTTCTGGATGATCTAATGAAAGAAATGCCAAAACCAAGCAACAGGGAATAATATTATCTTACTTCTTTTGCTGTTACAAATGTGTTGAATTTAGTTTATCATAACAAGTAGTCCTTCTTTAAAGCTAACATCAGGTGATGAAAAAATGCTTTATATTTCCAGTAAGATCATTGAAGTTGTATTTATCAATCAACTATTCCACTGTATGACTTTTGTTGCTGTAACTCGCTTTATTTTGGGGTTAATCAGAGGTCTCTTGATCGCTTACAGAAGATTCAGAATGCGGCTGCTCGACTACTGGTTTGTGGGAGAAAAAGGGAGCATATAACGCCCGTTTTGGCTGCACTGGTTCTTTTATTTGTATATAAGGCTGTGAATGGACTGGCACCACCTTACGTGTCAGAGCTACTGCACCCGTATTGTCCTTTGCGGCACCTCAGATCAGCTGATCAGCTGCTCTTGGAGGTTCCGCAAACGAGGCGAAGACTTAGGGGGGACAGAGCGTTTGCGGCGGGGGCCCCTAAACTGTGGAATGCATTGCCTCTCCACATTAGGCAGGCCTCGTCACTGGACATTTTAAAAGTCTATTTAAAAACTTATTTTTATCGTCAGGCATTTGGAAATCCACGTTTATCCATGGGCGTTTGAGCCAGTATGAGGCGGTGTCATGTTGGGGTACTTTGTTTTACTGCTGTATGTGGGGGTTGTTGTAAGGGGATGTTGGTAATTTGTTTTGTTTATTGTTATTATGTTATTATGTTATTCCCGGTGTATTTTATTGTCTTGTTTCTATGTGCTTTGATTTTAATACGGTTGTGATGTGTCATTGTGTTTAGCACTTCGCGCAGCTATGGCTGGGATAAATGTGCTATATAAATAAAGTTGATGATGATGATGATGATGATGATAAAGTAGACTGTGTAAAGCTATTTAAGTGTTTAAGGACAGGTGTTTACAGTGGCACTGAGGTGAAAGGACTAAGCTGTTTGCATCTCTACACTGCAACTCTGCTGATACACTACACACTGAAGTAAATAATGTTTGAATTACAACACCAAAAATGTTAAATAATTGTTGTAATCATGTATTTTTCATTCACTTTTGGCTTCCACATTTATAGACAAACATTTGCAACAATGTTATGACGCAGTAAGAACACAAGTTTTTTTTTCATTATCATGTTGCATAAGTTCATTTGAAATATTATAGAAATATTAGTGCTACAATCTACAAAAAATGCATTTTGATATGAAATATTCTTTGTGTATCATAATTACATGTAATTTGCAATTGCAAATTCCATTTCCATAAAAGTTTAGACATTTTTCAAAATGCAATAAAAACTAAATCTGTGATTTGTTAATTCATATGAACCTTTATTTAACTGACAAAAGAACTGTCGGTTCAAAAAGAATATTTCTCAGTGCAAGACTCCAAACAATTTAGGTCTTTCACCATCTTCAGTATGTCATGAAAAGATTCAGGGAATCCGGGGAAATGTCAGTATGTAAAGGCCAAGGGCGAAAACCACTGTTGAATGTGCCTTCGAGCCCTCAGGAAGTACTGCATGAGAAACCGTCATGCTACTGTGATGAATGTAGCCACATGGACTCAGGAGGACCTAAAATGCATGTGGAGAAGGAATGAGAACAATTTAAATAGGAGCATTTGGAAATCCATCTCTACTGGAGAATCTGATCAGCTGCAAAGCATGTGTATGAAATATGTAAAAACAATATATTCTTTATTAGTAAACAGATACTTTTGTGTCAGCAGACTGATTCTACCATTTCCTATAAAGCACAGATGTGCTTTATTGGTTACTATGCCCACTGGAAACTAAGGACTGATAAGCAACCTTTCTTGTTTTCTCCCATTTCTTTCTGTATGTATGTTTGTGTGTGTTTGTGTGTGCGCTTATTTGAAGAATTTCTTTCATTTAGTTCTGAGTGTGTGCCTCCCATTACATAATAGTCATTGTACCCTTGAGGAGTTTCTGCCTGCTTTGGGGCTCCTGATGGTACTTGATTGAGGAGTTTAAAGAGCAGAGCCATTTGGGATGTTATAAATAATATCACATATACTCAAATGTGTTTAAAAACACATCATGAATACACTTTGTAGTAAACAAGGCAAAGGCCCAGGTTGGCAGAGACACGTGGGTGAAGTAGTCTTTATGTAGGAGCAGTGAGGGGTTTTTTTTTATTTGTCTGTGTCCAGGGGCCCATTTTCTTATAATCTGTTCATGGTTGTTGATTGATTCATTAATTGATTGATTTTGCAACAAATAGCAAATATATGTTTGTATTATTTAATATTAGACTGTTTAAAGCTGCAGTAACTAATTTTTGACCATTAAGGGTGAAGTGAGAATCAAAACAAACTCCAGCAGTATCCCCTCCTCTTCTCCCTCTGCTCCTCCTTACCTTCCTGCCCTGTCTGTGAAACTAGGTCACATGGTCATGACAGCCAGAGATAGTTGTGGCAGTCAGGTAGCGCAGCAGTAATAACTGACTCCAGAGCTAATGTAGAGCCCATAGAGCCCGTAGTTTTCGGTGGCATTGCAGAAACATAATGTCAGATAAAGAGGTTTACATTTTAGCAACATTCATACGCATGTCTAACATTGTTTGTAGCGGTGTATCTGCAGTAACACAAGCAAATTATACAGAGGAATGTTTTTTTCCCCAGTACTAATGTTCCAGCCACTATCGCATCATTTTCAGTATTACATATTTGGCACACACAACAGTGAGTTGTATTTGAAACAATACATTTCATGTGAAATTTCACACACATTGATAGTTGAACAACAACTCACTTTTCTAGTTGTGTTGATGGCTTAAATTTGAACAACATCTCACTAAAATGTTACATGGACTGCAGTGTTATGTTCCACATAAACTGGACCAAAACTGAGCAAACATTTGTAAACTTACGTCATTTGCAAATCCAGGAAAACAAACTGGTTTCTGATAATTGAACAACAAAACACTAATGTTGCAGTCAGTTGGAATGACTCCAAATCACAACCAGAATAATTCAGTACAAAGGCACAAAATTCAGAGTTGTTAGTTCTGTTTTTATTTTAAATGAAATAAATAAAAGTACATTTTAAAAAATCAATAAAAAACCCTAAGGCACTGATGTTTGCTGGGGAAAATACCCATCACCACAGCCTTGTTATTGTTTCAGTTAGGCCTGCAGTGATTTGTCTTTTAATTGATGAAACAATAATTTGAGTTACTCTGAATTGTAAATCTACGGTTCTTGGAAAAAACCAAATAGTTTGAAGTAGCTTGTGTTGTGTGATGATTGGACTCTGAGATTCTCTAAACTTGAAGATTAGCATAATCAACATGTTGACAGCTAAAAGAATAAGCAATAATAAAAATAAGCTTTAGCTGTTTTCATAAACAGCATTTTTTATAATCATTTTAATATTGAATTCACTTATTTAGCAAAAATCTGCTGGTACCAGCTTTTCAAATGTGAAGATTTGCTGCTTTTTATGTTTTATATCAAACATCTGATATTTTATAAGCTAAACAATAAAATGTAACATTAGATTTTAATTGTGCAGATTTCATGTCTATGTGTATTTACAGAATCTTGGCCAAGGTGGGTTCGGACTTTGACCTGAGAACACTGCGAGCGGTGAGGGTGCTGAGACCACTGAAACTCGTGTCAGGAATCCCCAGTAAGTCACTCCATCAACATTTAAAGATTTTGTTGTTGTCTAGACAAAGTGGTTTGTGCAAACTCTAGTTTGTTACTCAGCTCTGAAAAAGGATGTTAGTTAATTAGATGAAGATTAGCTGTAGTAAACTAGTCTGTGATTGTCTTCTAAAGTTTTTATTTTGGCTTTGAAACTGGATGGTTTTCAGTGAGGAAAGCGCTCCACTGAGGTTTAATGAAACACAGGTTAGCTACAGGCTAAGCTAGTAAAGGCTTGAATTCAGTAGGCAAAGAAGGGGCTACTTCCAATTCCTGTTTATTGCAACATGAATCATAATTTCTATAGGTACTCACCAGTTTAATAGTTGAGATCTGGGAGCCATCAACATCACTAAAAGAAGTCTGACACAAGCAGCCAGATGGTCAAACAGTAAACATCTATCACAGGCTACAGCAGGGGTGGGCAATTAATTTTTACAAGGGACCACATCAGAAACCTGAACTGTGTTGGAGGGTCAAACCAATGATAACTTGAACTTAATTCTGCTCAATATTCATTATCTCCCATTGTAAAAAGCAGTAAATTATACAGTATGTGTTGATTAGCTGCTATACTGGTAATCAGAAGAATACGCATATTCTATAAATATTTATATAAATATATGAAATTGTGGTGTAGGTCAAACAGGAAAATACTCCTATAGAAGTAATAAACAATAAAAACAAAAACAAACATTACATCACAGTTCCATTTTATTTTCTACTTCACATAACACTGAAAAGGTGTTTTACAGTATACAGAATTCAAGATATGCATTTTCAGTTCATTTTACTTGTTCAGTGAGAGAAATCCAGTCTGGCTTGGGCTTGAACAAGTGCATTGAAATCTGGATTTGTTGAACTTCATCACTGAGAATGTCTGTTCACATATGTAGGTAGATCCAAAGATTTCCTGCGATGTCCTCAACCCTCCTCGTTACAGTGC